GCCTCTCACTGTTGCGGCCTCTCCCATTGCGGAGCACAGGCTCCGGACGCAACAGGCTCAGGGCCATGGCTCACGGGCCCAGCCGCTCTGCGGCATGTGGGATCTTCCCAGACTGGGGCGTGAACCTGTGTCCCCTGCATCGGCAGGCGGACTCTCAACCACTGCGCCACCAGGGAATCCCCAAGGTCTTTATATTTTGATTGACCTGAGATGATAGAACAAAGGTGCTCTTTTAGATTCCAAAGGCTATTTATTTTGTTTCTTACTAATTGGTTGGTTAGTTTAGGGACTTAACTGTCAGTTACAAAAAATGGTTGAGATGCTTAATTGATTCTTTCTAATATTTATTTAGATTTGAGTTTTAGCCACTGTCTTTCAGTTTTTTAGGTCATAGAAAATTAAACAGCAAACAGCAAAGAATTTAAATAGAAATAGGCTGATATTTGAGTCTATTATTTGATATTAGAAGACATTATTAAATATTGGTATAACTAGATAATGATTTTTTCCCTTATATTAGACAGTTATGAGATAATCCTAGTAGAATCAATATTGTTGAGCAACGAAACCCTAGGTTCCAGCGTGGTGAACATGCAACTTGTCAACTGTGGAGTTGGGACTAAGATCCATGTCTCCTGTCCTCAGCCCCGTACCTTTCCATGCGTATTACAGTGAACTGCCCTTTGTTCTGTATTCTTGAGGACAGGCTGTGTGAGTGCATGTTTAGATGAGATATAGGTGTGGGAGCTCTAATGCAGAATTTCTGAGGTTGATCTTATCACTTTATTTTTCACACATATACGTGGAGCTTTGCTAGGAGCAGCCTGGTGAATTTGTATTTTCATATGTATGTGTATTTTTCTCCATTGAACTAGCTGTATGGGAAGGGGGTGGGGAGAAAGGCAGGAGCATGACTCCCAGTAAAACAAATCTTGGCATACAGAAGAACTCTGGGCTATATAGAAATAATGAAGATGATCTGGTTATAGTATAGCAGAATTTCTACAGGAAAAAGTATACTTTTGCTGAAGAAAGAGGTACTTAAAAAAAAAAAAGCTTTATCCGGACTTCCCTGGCAGTCCAGTGGTTAAGACTCTGAACTCCCAATGCAGGGGAACTAAGATCCCGCATGCCACTTGGCGCAGCCTAAAAAAAAAAAACTCCAACCTATATTCAGAGAATTAATGTTCATATCGGTTGTCAGTTGTGTGGCATAAATATGTGTTATTCCTTCAAATTAAAGAAATGTTTAAGTGATAATGACTGAGTCTCTGCTTTATCCTAGGATTCAGAGAAACTACAAGGCTTATTCCAGGCAGCACTGGAGCTCAGCACAAGCACCAAACCATATGACTGTGTAACAGCTTCCTACCTACTGAACTTCTTAATCTGGCAGAACGCTCTGCCGTCATCTCTGTCTGCTTACTTAAAAACTCAGCGGGTTGCATGTGGAGATGGAGATAAGTCTGCTGCTCTGGTGGAAAGTAACACATTAATAGGTTCGTATTGAGTAAATGACCTTTTGCTCTTATTTATCAAAACCAATATCTTACTTTCTTCACTATTAATATGGTTAGGCTATCTAATGGTTAAGCACTTTGTGTTTTTTTTTTATTTAAGAGTTTACCAGCTTTGTAGTTTACCAGCATATAAGTATATCATGAATTTCTCCTTTGCAAATAAATAGTTTACTCAACTATATTGCTTCTAAACAGAGGATTCACATTAAATACGTACATACGCAAATGTACATTAATAGAGCTTTTATTTAAATAAGACTTCTTTCTCTACCAAAAATGTACTTTTTTTCTACAGAAATTTTACTATGACTATAGCCAAATCGTCTTTGTTAATTCTATATAGAGCAGAGATCCTTTGTCTGTTGGGGTTTATGTTTTAACTGGCTGTCATACCCTTGCCTTTTACTCTTCCCATATAGCCAGTTCCAAAACCTAGGTCTGAGTTGGTTTAGATCTAATGATTTTAAACAAATATTTGTTGGGGGTTCATGTAGTTAATTTTATCCTAGTAAATCTTCATTTTGGAATTGTACTAGAAATAAGGATAGGTAGAGATTTTTATTAAACAAAACAGAGGTCAGATGTTGAAAGAGAGTTGACAGTTATTCTCTCTAAGATAGTAGAAAAAGCCATGAAAAAAAGAACTAATAATGGGAGAAAATTAGGAGGCCATGGATAGTTCTGGTGGAAATGTGGCCATAGAGCTAGGGATAGAGAGATGACAGTGCCATGGAACGTGACATGTGCCGAACTCTAATTGCTTCAGGGCTGGATTCCAGAGGAGACCCCGATAAGATGATAAGAAGAGGTCTGCAATTGGGGTGAACTGGGGAGTTCATACTTCATGTAAAGGCTTTCAAATTTAAGACATTTTTAAACTTTTTGAAATATTTCAAACATACAAAGAATATTTAAATATATAGGGTTTAAATAGTAATAATATAAAAATTTCACAAGTTCTGTCCCCAAGCCAGGTAATAACACTCAGCTTAAGAAGTATTGATATAACAGCACCCATAACTTTGAAGCCTCTTCTTTATCCTAGCTTCCTCCTCCTACCATGTAATTACTGCCCTATGTTTTCCTTCCTTCCTTCTTCTCTCCCTCCCTCCCTCCCTCCCTCCCTCGCTTTCTCCCTCTCTCCCTTAGTTGTGGCATGCAGGCTTCTTAGTTGCGGCATGTGAACTCTTAGTTGCATGCCATATGCTGCATGCATGTGAGATCTAGTTCCCCAACTAGGGATCGAACCCGGGCCCCCTGCATTGGGAGTGCAGATTCTTACCCACTGGACCACTAGGGAAGTCCCTCCTATTAACTGTTGATGGGAGTGTAGAATGGTCTGGCCCCTTTGGAAAACAATCTGGTAGTTTCTTGAAAGGTTAAACATATAGTTACCATATGACTCCACAGTTCCTCTCTTGGGCATTGTCTTAATCAGCTCAGGCTGCTATAACAAGATACCATAAAGTGGGTGGCTTAAACAACAGGCATTTATTTCTCACAGTTCTGGATGCTGGGAAGGTTAAGATTAAGGTGCCAACAGATTTGGTTCCTGGTGAGAACCCTTTTCCTAGTTTGTAACAGCAGCCGTCTCAGTCTGTGCTCACATGGAGGAGAGAGTAAGCTCTGGTCTGTCTTCCTCTTCTTATAAGGACACTAATCCCATCCTGGGGGTCCCACCCTCATGACTTCAGCTAAACTTGATTACTTCCTAAAGACTCCACCTCTAAATTTCTTTGCATTGAGGGTGAGGGTTTCAGCATGAATTTGCGGGGGGACAGGCAGGGACACACAAACATTCAGTCCATAATGGTCATATACTTAAGAAAAATGAAAACTATGTCCAGACAAAAACTTGTGCATGAATGTTCATAGCAGCATGATTCATAATAGCCAAAAAGTGGAAATAACTCACATGTCCATCATCTGATAAATGGATAAATAAAATGTGGTATATCCATACAATGGACTGTTACTGAGCTGTTAAAAGTAATGAAATATTAATACATGCTACAACATGGATGAACTTTGAAAGAAGCCACATATTGTATGATTCCATTTATATGGTATGTCCAGAATAGGCAGAAAATGCTTAAGTGGTTGCCTAGGACTGGGGAAGGTGAGAGGTGCAGGAAGGGGAGTGACTGATAATGGGTGAGAGTCTTTTGAGGGGGGGAGGATGAGAATGTTCTAAAATTGACTGTGGTGGTGGTTGCACATAGCTGTGAATATCCTAAAAATCCTTGACTTGTACACTTTAAGTGTATAAATTGTATGGTATATGAGTAATATATCAGTAAAGCCATTGTTTTTTACAATCTGTCCAAATAGCACATGGCACATAGGCCTGGGGTCTGTTAACCCAAATAGAGGATGTCTAGGAGAAATGATCCAGAATGAATGCTGTAAATGGATCCAGGAAGTTAGGGCAAAGACACAGTACTACCTTAACTGGAAATGGAGAATAACCTTGAAAGATCCCTTTTTTCATTCAAAAACCCCTAGTATAAAGTTCAACTCAGTTGGGTGCTTTCATGGAAACTGTTGTGCTGTGCACAAATTTGTAAATGTGTTTTTAAACTGGCGTTATTTTGGTGGGTTTTGGTGGGTTTTTTTGCTTTTTCTAGTTATCAAATGCTTGTTGGAAAATCTTGAGGAAGAAGTATCTCGGGCTGAAAATTCTCTGCTTCAGGCAGCAGCATCGTTTCCAATGTACGGGCGGGTCCACTGTATAACAGGAGCTTTGCGGAAGCTAGCTCTAAAGTAAGTATATCCCCGCCCCTCTCTTTCCTCAGTTCTCACTTCTGAGCTTTAAACCCTTATTGGAATGTGTCCTGGGAAAGGAACATATTGCCTTAAAGGTAATTAAAAATTAGATTTTAAAATGTACATATAGGGCTTCCCTGGTGGTGCAGTGGTTAAGAATCTGCCTGCCAATGCAGGGGATACAGGTTCGAGCCCTGGTCCGGGAAGATCCCACATGCTGCGGAGCAACTGAGCCCGTGTGCCACAACTACTGAGCCTGTGCTCTAGAGCCCGTGAGCCACAACTACTGAAGCCCACGAGCCACAACTACTGAAGCCCGTGCGCCTAGAGCCTGTGCTCCGAAACAAGAGAAGCCACTGCAATGAGAAGCCCGCACACTGCAACGAAGAGTAGCCACCGCTCACCACAACTAGAGAAAGCCCGTGTACAGCAGCAAAGACCCAACACAGCCAAAGATAAATAAATACTTTATTTAAAAAAATACATATATACACATATTTTTATGTCTTAAATATTTTATAGATTGCACGATTTTGAAACCCAAATTCTTTTGACCCCTTTTGTCTATTAATTTCATCTTGAAAATGTGATTTTTGCTCTTAGTGTAAACTACCCTAATGTCTTTGTTGCAGCAGCCTGCAGTTGGTGAGTGAGTGGAGACCCGTGGTGGAGAAGCTCCTTGTGACATCCTACAGGCTTTCCGCCGTGGTGTCTCCAGTTATTCAGAGCTCCTCCCCAGAAGGCCTCATCCCCATGGACACTGATGCAGGTCAGTAAACGAAGAAAGCTAGAATTACTATGTTTTTTCCCCTAATCATTTCTTCAGAGAGATACAGAGGCTAAGTAGGGGGAAAAGAAATTATTATTATGACTAGTAATATTTCTGCCTTTTTAGTAATATTTTTAACTATGAAAAAATAACCAAAATAAATAAATAGCCAGGTGATCAGCAAGGTACTTCCTCCTCTGGGGTAAATTGGGTTTTATAATATGTCATTTCAGAATACAACCTACCAGGGTTGTATTCTGGCAGGCAGTATAAATTAGAGAGAAGTTGATGGGGTTCAGTCAGAGAAGGCAACTTGTTAGAAATCTGAATAGGCAAAGACCATTGGACATACAAAGACCATTTAATTAAAAAAAAAAAAAAATTGGAGAAGATAGTCAAAATGCCCAAAACCGAACTCATGAACTTCCATCTGTCTTTTCCTTCCCAACCCTTGTATCTTTGCAAATGGCCCTACCAGAGACCTGTTTATGCAAGTCAGGAGCCTAGGGCTGCTTGACATCTCCCCTTTGCTCCCTATATCTAGCCTGTCTCCACGTTCTTTCAGTGGTGCCCCTTAAATAGCTTTCAAATCTCTTTCTCTTTTATCTGCATCTTCTTACCTTACTGTAGGCTTTTATCCTCTCTTGTTTCCCCACATCTACTCTTATCTCCTTCCATTTCCTTTTTACCACATCCAAAGTAATCTTTTCTAGTCATATAATCTATCATGTTACACATAATCTTTACTTAACCCTGTGCTCTGCTCACCCCCTCTTCCTTTTTATTTAAAATACGTTAGTGACCAGGTCCTGTAATAGTTTTGCTCCTGCTACCTTGCCAGTCTTGTCTCTTAGCATTCTCCCCTTCTCATAGATTTCTCCTTCATGGAGTTGTTGCAGTTTAACAGGAATCTTGTCTGTTTTCCTCCCTTGTGCTTAACACAGTGCCTGGCAGAAGGAGGTACACTATCAATAGTTAGAATGAATGAACAATTCCTGAAAGTATAGGAACTAAATTCAGTGCCTGGGATGCCCTTGGTGGTATGTGTATACAGCAGTTCCCTCTTAATCTGAGGGCTATATGATCCAGGACCCCCAGTGGATGCCTGACAGTGCAGATAGTACCAAACCCTATACATACTATGTTTTTTCCTATACATACATACTTAAGTTAAAATTTAATTTATAGATTAGGCGCAGTAAGAGATTAACAATGATAACCAATAATAACAGAATAATTATAACAGTATACTGTAATAAAAGTTATGTGAATGTGGTCTCTCTCTGTTTCTCTCAAAAAATCTTACCACATTGTGCTCACCGTTTTTCTTGTGTTGATGTGAGATGATAAAATGCCTGTGTGATGAGGTGAAGTGAGGTGAATGACGTAGGCATTATGACGTAGTGTTCGGCTACTATTGACCTCCTGGCGATAATCAGAAGGAGGAGCCCTGATGATGTTGATGGTTGGATGTCAGCTGCAGATGATGTTGATGGTTGGGGATCCCAGGTGGGATGGAGAGGGACAGTGTGAAGGGATTTCTGGATCTGTACTACGACAGGCCAGAAGGATTGGCCGTTAAAGGTATATACTAACATGAACGTTCCTTTGAACAGCTAGAAAATCATGAAGTAAATTTATATTTTGGTGTTGAAATAAAGTTGGTGAATGCATTTTGGAGTGCAAATGAGAGCCTTATATTAAAAACATACTGAGTAAATCATAAACACACACTGCATCATACAATGCAATACTTTGGGCCGATAATTAAACTAGTCTAGAGTTGTGTGGTTGCATAGAAAATGTGACGTTTTGTTCTTCACTAAAAATGAGTTGGAAGGTTGGTGGTGGTTCATGATACTAAGATACAGTTATAGATTTATTTTGGCTGATAGTCTAAATACTAAAATTTGTTGGTTTAGTTTTCCTACTTAAACAGTGCATAGGAATAAAGAACATCCAGTCTGATAGCTAATATTTGGATCAGGCCATTTTGGATGAGAAATCTTGAATGTTTGTCACCAGTTGTGGGTAGGGCCTTCAGAGTATGCTAAAATTTTGTTATTAAAGTTTTAAAATATCTGTCAGTCTCAGAAACTGTCTATGGTCCACTAACTTTTCCTTCATTTTGCCTTTTCTTTTTTCCTCTGGTTGTCTCCATTTTTCTTATGTCTTTCCCATGTTATCTGCCATGCATTCTGAATTCTTTGAAAAAAGTCTACCCTGAAAGCCACAAAAATGGTTCTTAAAATTTTATTCTGGTTACCCCTCTCTTTTTTCTTAATCTTTCTGTGGTTTCTTTTTGGGCCAGTGTTACTTTCTCATGGCTGTCAAAATTTCTTTTTGGCAAAATTTCATGGAAGCCACAAGTGAACATAAGATGTTGGCTGAACCATTATGATAGCAGTTTGGGTCTTTGTATTTCCCATAATACCTAAAATATAAGTGTGTATAATAGGTATACAGTAAATAACCCATTCTTTGATTTGTTAATTGGTTTCAGATGATTACCTGTTGTTATTTTTCTTTCAAAATCTGAGCCTGCCTAGCTCTTTATTACCTAGTCATCCATAAATTCCTTCAGCCCATGTTACTGAATCTCTGCCATGACCCAGTTTCTGTTCTAGGCACTAGCAGTTGAGCAGTGAACAAAGTCTTGCATTCGTGAAGTTTACATTTCCTAATCCAGCGAGTGCTTACTAAGAAATAAAAATGAAGTTTAATATAATACTAGGACTGGAAATCTAACTTAGAAAGCAGTATATTACTTATTCATTTCAAAGCCAAATACGGAGTTTTCATGATGTTCCTGGGCCATAAAAGATTATTTTTGTTGGTAGTGGGGTTTCTTACCTCTTAAAACAAAATTCATTGAAGTTTATTGCTCTTCCTTCATCTATTTGAGCACTGTATTTGAGATTCTTAGACAACACTGAGAAAAGCAATGTAAGGGAGATGGCAGCCTTTGTCTATGGACAGTTTCTGTTGTGCTTTTTTGTCCAATCTTCACCCTATTTAAAATATTCACCATATTTTGAAAATACACTCAAGTATCATGAAGACCTTATATAAATAATTTTCATATTATCCATCCTGTGAGTCCCTTCTTATAGTGCTAATTTTCAAGTACTGAAAATTACAAAATTTTTGAGGGCAAATACCCCCAAGGGAAGTCTTCATGTGATGTGGAACTGGGGTTTTACATAATCTCTCTCTCCCTCAGAGTCAGCAAGCCGCTTGCAGATGATTTTGAATGAAATTCAGCCCCGAGATACTAATGATTATTTCAATCGAGCTAAAATTTTGAAAGAATGTGATAGCTTTGATTTGGAGGACTTGAGTGCCAGTGTACCAAATATTGATACTTCTGCAGAAATCAAAGGTATATATAAAATCAGCATTGTAGTCAGTATTTAAGCGACAAATAAAATGTGCAAAATGCTCTTTTTCTATAGTAAATCAGAGGCTGCAAATGTGTGTAGTACACTTCTAGAAAATAAAGTCTTTTTTGAGCTTATAAATGATTTATTTTGGGGAATGAGTTTATAAGACTTTACCAGAAAATGGTGTTCACCAGTGCAGTGTATAAGGTGCTTCAGCAAAAAGCCTTTGAGTACTGAAACCTGTCTTGACAGCCAGGTGATGTAGGAACAGTGATGCACAGTGAACTTGGGTTTGGGGAGCAGTCTGCTTCTCCCAGCACTATAGTTCGATGTTGTGAGAGTCCTCGTAGTCAGTCAAACAGCCTTTTAAAGGAAACAAATTTATGACTCAGAGAAATGTGAGCTGCTCTGTTGTACCAGGCCTCCGGAATTCAAATTCTTACTGTTTGTTTTCTCATTAGTTCTTTTATAATTTTCTGTAATGCTGTAAAAAGTCATCAGAAGCAGTAATATCTTATTTATTTATAACATATTCTACATTCTCCACTAGATGGGGATATTGTCTTGTAAGAATTTCTCTTTATAATTTTTTTTTTTAATTACACAAAATAACACAAATGTATGCTTGTAATAGTTTCAAATAATACAGAGATAAATATGAATTAAAAACAAATTAATTTTGTTTTCTTTCATTTTCTTATTTCCTCCTCAATCCTACTTCTTCCCTCTTTAGTATACATCATTTCAGACCAATTTTATGTATTTAAGTGTATGTACATTTATCCTTTGAGTTTAGTGGCCTTTTAAAAGACAAATGGGATTATGTTAAAAAGGTTATTTTGTTAACTTACATTTTAAATTTAATAGTTTCTTTTGGATTTTTTTTTTAAATAAAATATTTGTAAAGCTAGAAAAAGAGAGTAAGGATTCTTATAGCTAATTAACCGTGGAATTTAAATATATTTTGAAAGAGAATTTGTATTTTCCTTTGAAAGGAAAGTCATATCCTATTCTTTTACTGACATAGCAGCCACCCTCACCAAAACAAATAATAAAATATATTTATTATAGTCATATTTTATGGATGACTGAGAAGCAGGAAGAGTTTGTTTCATTAACTTCCAAAGGTTAGACTTTGGTTTTAGAATAATATTGTGTTTTATTTTTAAATTTATTTTGAATATAGTATATTAAAAAAAATACTGTGATTCCTACCCATAACACATGCCCAACAAATGTTAGTTATTTTCTCCTGAATAAATATAGCATATGACAAATTGGTTTGTTCAAGCAGATTATTCTTGGGGAAATTATGAATAAGCTTGTTCTAAGAAACCTGGGATGTGAGTAATCAAGTGTCTAGTGTTGCAATAGTTTTTTTTTTTATTATTTTTTAAGGTAAAGAAGGAAAAACATGTGACGTAACTGCTCAGATGGTGCTGGTATGTTGTTGGAGAAGCATGAAGGAAGTCGCTTTACTCTTAGGCTCACTGTGCCAGCTTCTACCCATGTGGTCTGTGCCAGAATCTCCTGATGGATTATTGACAGTGGAACAGGTAGGGTAGCTGTTTATTCCACCTGGTATAATTTCTGGTCAAAGCATAAATCACAAACTTTTATTTAAAAGTTAAATAACTTAAAAAAAATTTTTTTAATAACTTAAAAAATTTTTTTAACATTTTTCTTGAATAAAATCTTACAGGTGTCAACTGAAGAAAGTTCATTAAAGTATAGGAATTGGATCTTGCAATCCATTTCCAAACTTTGGCATTTTTAGAAATGTTTTTATTTTTCTAAGTTATATAAATAATGATAGCTTTTACCTCACTTTTAACTTCAGTATTAACATTTGAATTTTTATTTCTCCATTTAACACACACAAACTTAAAATTCAAATGTAAATGAAATTGTCTATTTAGTAAAACTCCACAAACCTCTTAAATTTTGCAAAGAAAAAAATATATATATTTTTTTTCTTTATATATTGGTTGATTATGGATCTCATGTTTCCCTCTACATTGATGATAAAGTTGTAGTTACTTTGGTTTTTTTGGCTGACTTTGATTTTAAGACCACAAAGTCAGTTCCATCTGGGACTGTTCAAGTGACTTGAGTGCAGTGTTTATAAGAAATTAGCTTACCACAAGCATTTCATTTGGAAATATTTTAGATTTATTAGATTTCTGTTTTTAATTGATTCCCTCTTCCTTTCCATATGGTTTCAACAAATCCATTTCCCACCATTTTCCAGCAAAGATACATAACATGTACTTTCATTTTTAACCTTTTTCAAATAAAGATAATTTCTCCCGTAGGGTGTTATGACATTTAAGAACAAAACAAATATTGTAGTATGCTAATGCTGATTATTTCTGTAATAACCGTGTGACCAGTTCCATGGAAATAATGCTAATATTTTTATTCTCACACTCTCTGTGGCTGATGTGTTTGCATCTGGTTAACAGCTGGGCTTGTGATGTTGCAAGGCTCTGAGACAGAGAACAGCAGAGGGGAACAGAACACTGCCAGCTTCATTATGTTCCTTATTCTCTTCCAAATCAAACAGGCGTTAGTGTCCTAGAGTTACTTGCAGTCCTTACTGGTGACTGGCTGGAGTGCCAGTGCCAACGTCTTTGCTGAGGAATCCAGCTATGATTAATGATTACTTCACTGATGTTCACCATCTCACTAAGAAGTAAATATGGGCTAGAGCCCCTTGACTTCTCAACTTTTCAAGGACAAGTTAAAACATCTAGTGTTTTAGGTTTGTTGGCCAGTGTTTAAAAACAAAATTAAGGGAAACATATTTTACTTTTACTATAACTGAGAAAGACCTGAAAGCTTCCTGTGAAAATCATTTCGCCCTGACACCTTTTACAGAGCACCCAAATCTTACGAAGTTATATGGGATATCCAGGTTAAATTGGGAATTAATTTTTTAAAATTGGGAACTAATATAAAATAGAAGAGATGTTTGTATGACAACAACAATAACAAAGAGAGGCTCTTATAAACCAAAGAACTCTTCTGATGACTGTTTTCTTGAATAAGAAATAGAATCCTGTTTTTCTGTAAAATATCCATTTCCATTCTAATAAGGTCCAGTCATTTCTCCATGTCGCCATTCATGTGGTGACCCCACATATATATGTTTGAGAAGAAATTAATGACTAAGTGAGTGAACAAGAGTGTATGTGATAGCACTGTTCTGACATTGAAACCCTACCCTCTGTGGAAAACTTAGTCTTGATCATGCTAAATTTTACTAAAAACATTAAAATGCTCCTAAAAATTTTTTTAATTTTTTTACATTTAAAAAAATGCAGGGGCATTTAGTCAATGAAATCTAAAGTTATCAAGAAATTAGTATTACTTATATTACTAGAGGATTCCTGCTTTTAAACATATAGTTTTGTTCCGTGAAATTCCTTTAAACTAAACATATTCCTATGTATTTAGTACTTTTAAGAGTTAAAAATATAAATGACAGAGGAGAATGCAGTCTGCATTGGAGTGCTGGGGCCACACCTAGGGTCTACCTTCCTTCCAAGGGCATAGCCGCCCTGGCATCACTAGTTCTTCTATGCACCTAGTGGCAAGGAAGCTACAAATGTAAGCATCAACAGTGTAGGTGAATGTGACCACGAGAGACCTGCAGAGGCAGTGAAGGGACTTATGGGCAGAATGCTCTGCGTTGTTGGGGAGAATTGGGAACTTGGATTTCTTATTCCCAAGAATCATAAAAACCATGATCTCCTTTTCTCTCAGTGGATGAAGGAAGTTGTTCTCTAGAACCTGAAATACTGGTGTTCAGCCTGTTGCTTCTCTTGCTCTCCACTCACCCTTCACTACTGAAAAAGGAACAGGATTCTACTGCCATTTTATATTTGAGGTCTCACATTTAGATGACGGAGAGGATTTCTCATGGAACTCAGCTCCTTTAAGCCCATCCTGATTTTACAGCCCTTTGTTAAAGGGGTGATAACTTCAATCCCCCATACATGAGTATAGTTTAAACTAGGCCAGCAGGTAGTGAGACTCCAATTTGGGGATTTTTGCTGCTGTACGAGGAGAGGAGCTGGTGCTCACTTATAATTCTGAGTATTCAGTGCTGTATTCACATACTGTTGGAGCTGGAAGGCTCACAGAGATGATATTATCCAGCTCTCTTGCACAAGGGGAGACTGAAGCCCTTGGATGTTACCTGGTTTGCCCAAGATCACAAAGCTGGTTTGTGGCAGCTCTGGGACAGGAACCTGATTCTTCTGCTTCCCAGCCTGTATTCCGACATGACACAGTGCTGCCTTTGTTCTGAATGGCTCATTTAATTTTTCTTTAAATTTAATTTTCCCAGCTTCCCATAGCCAACCAGATTTTTGCAAGCAACAGGACAGTAAGGCAACTTGCTACTGAACTTTATAGCAAATGATCCATTCCCTTAGATGATTGCTTGTGAAGGAGGGTGTCCTCTGCGACTTCATCAAGAAGAAAATGTGTTCATTCAGAGGCATGTCTGACCCTTCTCCTGCGCTGTAATCACATTATGAAAGGTTCTTTCATAATGTCCCTGTCCGAGAGGCAGAGATAAAACCAGCTTTGAGGGATGTAAGTCGAGACCCTTAAAGAGTGAGCAGTGCATGCAACCTTATCTCACAAACTTCCTGACTGGTGTGTGTCTGGGTTTCAAGCTGGGTGCTTTGCTGATGCAGAGCTTTTGCTTGATACATTGTTGGTCCTCTTTCCATGGGATATCGGATACCCAGTACCTACTGATTTTTTTAAACTTCCTCTACCTGGACTATCAGTTCATATGTTTATATATTTCCCCTAATATTCCTAAAAAGAAGCTTTTGGGTAGATTTTTTTTTTTTAATGTATCTGCTTTCTGCTTCCTAGGAATTATTGCCACAGAAATCACGTGATTAAGAATAATTACCAACTATTAGAAATGAGCAATTTTAATAACTCCTACTTTAGATTCTATTGTAATTTTCATGATGTACATGGCTAACTGGGTTTATATGTTCCCTCAGTACCTTTTGTTACTGTTTTAGATTTTTGTTAATGAACTATAAGTGGGATGTATGTTTATTAGTATTTGTCAGTCTTAAAGAAATTACCTTTTGTATTTTCTTTTACCAAAGTTTATTTTTTAGAAATGAGTAAGTATTCATTGAACTGTGCTGAATGCAGGTTACCATTTTTAAGCTGTGAAGTGAAGTTGAGCATGTAATTACATCATTTAGTCAACTATTTATTGACTGCCTTACTACAAGGGTGTTGTGGGAGTATTAAGTAATAGAATATGTGGTTCTCTGAGCTCAAAGGGCTTGGAAGTGTAATAGGGGATACAAGACAAATTCATTTCAGAAAGTCAGACTAAAAGGCAACTGTTAAAATGGCACATGGTTAAGGATTTGCCAGAAAACAAAGAATAAACGTTCTGGTGGGAAGATGTCTAGATACCAGGAAACCATCATTTGTTATTATGTAGGACAATGTTTGGGCTTTCACGAAATCCCAAGTGTTAGTAAGAAATCACTATAGTAGAGAATGTCCAGTTTAAAATGTTAATTATCTTACTGTAGTGTAAACTTTTATAAACTATTCCATTTAACCAAAGTGGAATTAGAAACTCCTGTTGACATTCCTAAGGTTGTGGCTGTGTCTTTTTGTTTTTTGTTTTTTTTTTTTTTTAGTGGTACGCGGGCCTCTCACTGTTGTGGCCTCTCCCGTTGCGGAGCACAGGCTCCAGACGCGCAGGCTCAGCGGCCATGGCTCACGGGCCCAGCCGCTCCGCGGCATGTGGGATCCTCCCAGACCGGGGCACGAACCCGTGTCCCCTGCATCGGCAGGCAGACTCTCAACCACTGCGCCACCAGGGAAGCCCGTGGCTGTGTCTTAAAGTAAAATTTAAATTAAGGTGTAGGGATTAAGTCTCACTACTTGATGACACAAAATGAAAACAAAAATTGACATTTAGCAATATTGATTGCTACGCTCTACCAGGTACTCTGCTAAATGCTTATTTGCATAATCTCATTTTTTTATCGGAATAATCCTGTGAAGTAGGTTCTAGTTTTATCCCCATTTCATGGATGAGAGAACTCTGTTACTTATGTAATTAGCTTGTATTGGTAAGGAGGCTGAGTAGGGTTCCTGAACTCAGCCCTCTTGGCTCCAGAATCCCAGATCTTAACCACTGCACATGCTCTTTGTAGAAATGTCCCACCTGTATACTTGAATCTTTTTGGACTTACTAACTTATAATGAGGGGAATTAGCTTTGATTTTTCTACTGTATTTCTCTCTACTATCTAGATAAAGGACAAACAAAAAATGTATTTACATTTGCCCTTTGTGGGTTTTATGCTCTAGGTGAGCATTTAGCTCCCCTGCTTGGTCTGTTGGTGAATTATAGGTGCCTAGAGACATGGCACGTAGCTCTCCTCCCCTGTGGAAATTTATACCCTGTAAATCCATAAGGCATGTTAATTCGCCTATAGAAGTAGGTTTTATGGAAGGGGAGCTTGTGCTCTGCAACGGGAGAGGCCGCGACAGTGAGAGGCCTGCGCACCGCGATGAAGAGTGGCCCCCGCTTGCCGCAACTAGAGAAAGCCCTCACACAGAAACAAAGACCCAACACAGCAAAACTAAATAAATAAAAGAGACTTAAAAAAGATACAAGTTTAAAAAAAAAAAAAAAGATAGTGATTAGAATTTCATTTTAAGAATAGAAATCAGTGCCCTTTTTTTCATATTTAATTGTCTTTCAGAAATTCTGAGATATTATTTATTAAGAAAATATTTTGTAAAGACATCATCCATGTTAAAAGAAAAGTTTTTATGAAATTTAAATAGGAGCTAGGTATCTAATAGATTGAAAGGCAATCGAGTTGAATTTTCAGAGGAGTTTTTCATTTTTTAAATAAAATTTTGAAATTCTTTTTCTGATTCTACTGTTGTCATAAGTTTCTACAGGATTAAATATGTTCCCTATAGTCTGATCATCCAAGGGGAGAGTGTCAGCATGGCCCCTGTTCCCTGTCCAGCTGCTCATGGACCACATTGCCCTGTTGACTCCTCCCACCCACTGTGATAGGGTACATCCCTACCTTGCAACCGTGTCTTCTTCCACTATTTTCTAGCATGAAATCTTGAGGCCATTCAGCCAGGTCTGCTATCACTCTCCTGTATAGTCTGTGTTCATTCATGTAAAAAGACCCAGTGAAGTGTCTGACAGGTAGCGGATACTTAATAAATGTTTGTTCATTTATTCTAGTATGCCAGCTTCTTCTCATGTTAATTATCCTTTTCTGTATTGGTTCACTCATGTATATCCTGTTTAAGGTCTGGCCATGAAGCTTTTTCTAATTAATCATTTCAATGCAAAAAGAGCTGTCATTTCTTAGTGCTGTTAAGCTTTGCTGTTAAGCTTCTGATGGGTACCATCCAGCATATTGGTTTTCTCTGAAAGCCTTCGGAGGACAAACATCTTGTTTTGTTCTTTGTCTACCCAGCACTAAGCTGCTAAGCATTTGACCGGGTGCTAAAAATGTACTTACTGTCTGATTAATAGAAGTATACTCTCTTCAAAGGGAAAAATTCATATTAAGCCTGGGTGTTACCTAGGTGGGTTTGTTGGGAAATTAAGTGCAAAATGAAATGAGAAAAAATAGTCTACCTCTCACTTGTGTCTTTAGAATCTCATTCTGTTTTCTGAGGCCAGGATTACCTAGGGTTGAGGTCTACCCTTCAGAGGAGAGACCACCCACTGGTCTCATTCACCTCTGAGGTCTTTGATATTATTATATGCTTTTTGGTTTAAGACCCTTTGAAGGGAGTTAAGGTAAAGGAAGCAATGAAAATCTGATCTTTGTTTAACAACTAGATTGTAAGTCCACAGAGAAGCACTTTACCAGTAACATTTCTGTTTTCCTGAAGTATGTTTTAATATCTGTAACATTAAAAAAAGATTAAGAATGTTAGAGAGACCCCATCTCTATGACTTCCTGTTTTTATTTTTTGTGCCTTAGTATACCTTTTTATAAATCTTCTTTTGTTTCTCTAATAATAGAAGTGATGGTCATAACAAGTTAGTTAACTGATGTTTCTTCTGGTCCTGTTTTGTAGGGTTATTGAGCTTCAGGTATGTCTTGGGGGTTAAATTCAGATTTTGTCCTTGATAATTCTGTTCAAAATATACTCTGAAATTACGTATTGAAGGTAAAATGATAAGGCTTACCCTGACTCCTGATTTTTGACGACTAGTAGTATGTAGCTTGTAAAAAATATTAAAAATTAGGGATATCATCAGATCTTCACCTGAAAACTTTAGCTGAAGAACATGACATGGCACTCTTTGGGGATATTAAATTGTTAGAATTTAAAAACTTCTGTTATATCCTGCTTTTCTGGTTCTTTCTTGATCTCATATCTGATTCTTATTTCTCTAAATGTATCACCCGTCTTTCTATAATCATATATATTTTGAGTTTAGAGTATGTTGTTAGCTTTCTTCTATTTGGAAATCCAGACAGAGGTCACATTGAACTGAATTGGTTTATAAGTGAAGGGCCTGTGCTGAGCTTTTAGATTTATTAACTCATTTTAATACACAATCTGTGAGGTAAGTGCTATTATTATTCCCAGTTTATAGATGAGACTGAGGCAGTTGCCCATGGTTACATGTTTAACTACTCTTTCTACTGTTTATCATCTCTAATGTGTGCAGAATACCAGTCACTGTGCTGAGGTGGAAGTTGTTTCTAGATAAGCCTATGTGAGCTATCTTGGGCTAGCTTTGCTTTTTCACCATTCTGTGACCTGCTGGGGAGACCTGGATCAAGAGAGAGCCAGTTGTAGCTTTGGTCCTGAGTTTTATACAAAATCTGGATTCTCTAAAGCTTATCAGCTACCAAATCTTATGGTATAAATGTAGAATCAACCCAACCACTTTAACAGTTAATGCTGTACAAAACTTCATCAGCAACTAATTGTCAGTCATGTCTTCTTTAAAGTAGATTGTCATATTTGTTATGTGTTTAAACTTGCATGGAGAAAAGCAGCATGTATGAAAACGATTGGGTAGCATTCTGGAAAACTCCATGGTTCTGACTCAAAAGTGAAGCCTGTCAATTTTCAGGAGGCCCTTTGCACTAAATCTTGTGTGGCCATTAATATTTGTATATTTCTAAAAGGTAATTATTGGGAAGTATTGTTTAATGGGTTGGAGTTTCAGTTTGGGAAGATGAAAAATATTCTGTAGATGGATGGTGGTTGCACACTAAAGTGAATATACTGAATGCCACTGAACTGTACACTTAAAAACGGTTAAAATGTAACTTTTATGTTATATATATTTTAACCATAATAGAAAAAAAAGTTTTTTGAAGAGGGGACTAAAAGGTAATTATTTCACCTAGGCCTAGGTGTGTGAGGGTTGTCACCTTGTGTGATTTGCTGTTGGTGTTGAATGATATGAGCTAACAAAGAGAACACAGCAAGATTTGTGAAGCTGGCATAGGGAGGCAGTTCTAGCCTAGCAGTTAAAGATGGCCAACTCTGGAGCCAGATTGCCTGGATTTCCGTACTAGTGCTACCATCTACTTGCTGTATGACCTTGAATAAGTTACTTGCCCTTTCTGGGCCTCATTTTTCCCAGTTGTAGAGTGGAGATAATAATAGTGCTTTTTTCATGGAATTATTGTGAGAATTAATTGTGATAGTATAAAACGCTTAAAATATTACCTGTTGCATAATAGGTGCTAAGTGGATGGGCATTGAGACCTGAGTTCTAAATAATGTTACTAAAAATAAATAAATAAATGATGTTACTGACATAAATACATCTGTCAGTGTAAACATAAATGGCATATTTATTTTTGATTTTGTTTTGAAGGTAAAAGAAATAGGAGATTACTTTAAACAGCACCTTTTACAGTCCAGGCACAGAGGAGCATTTGAACTGGCTTACACTGGCTTTGTGAAACTCACCGAAATCCTGAACAGGTAAAACAAAGCAAATATCCCTTTAATTTTAAAAAGATTAAATGCACAAACCATGTGCTTGAAGTAGAATTTAGTTGTATCTTTTGATGTTTAAAAGAACAGGACTTAGTTGGCTTCAAATTCTTGGAAGAAATTGTTTTCTTAGGTTTCATTGTATGGTTTACTGCAGATGATGGAGTGAAATGTCCAAACCCAGTAGCTCTCTTATTGAAAGGTGAATTGACACAAACTCAAAGATTTTGCTAAAAATAGATTTGAAGTTACCATTTATTTTCATTGAATGAAATGACTGTTTTGTCTGTTTGAAAATTACTTGGCTTGTGGAATAAAATAAGCCCTCCAGTTTTTTGGATTTGTGTATATTACAGACAGAGAAACACTTAAGGATTTTGTGTTTTTCTTCGGAATTTTGTCTTATAGAAAAATTTAAAAGAACAGTAAATAGACCAAAAATTATAAAGGACTTTTCCCCCTTACTTGGAAAAATACTTAAGTAGATTTCGTACATTTAGCCAAATGTGGTTTTTTTTTTTGACATTATAGGTGCTGATAATTTCATTCATTCATACAATAGATTTCCTCCAAAGAGCTTGTGAGGAAACCTTAAATTACTTAATGAGTAAGTGTTCATGGCAAGTGTTCTCTAAATAAAAGGTAGTATTTTCCAGGAAAACATTTCCATTGCCTGGAAACTTTTTGAAATGAAGCAGAGTTCTTTCTGCCAGCCGTGTAGCCTTAGCAAACATTTTATTTTGGGCCTTTAAGATATCTACTCCTTGAATATTTTTGAAGCATTTTTTTCACACTCCTGGTACAACATTTATAAAACATTTTGGCAGTTATGGGCTGTGCAGAATATCTTTAAATGATACATTAAAAAATGTCCTTGACTTTAAACTGCTGATCTTGAAAATATTTTGTTGTCTTTGCAGCTCTTTCTTTCCAGTGTAGACATGACTTAAGAATATTTTTTTCTCACAAAACAACACACTTCCCTCCCGTCAAATCAATTAACAAATATATATATTGAACACTAGCTGTGTGCTTAGTACTGTGCTTGGCTTGGAGGAGATAATACTTCTTTATGAGACAAGGTTCCTGTTCTCAAAGAGCATATGGTTTAGTTGGGGAAATAAGCAGGGATGAAATTCAAAATATTTAACAAATGGTACGTCATGGGCACTGACTGGTCAGAACAGACACTGGCTGTAAGCACCCAAGATCGCTGTCTGTATGGATGTGTGTTAGCTGAATACCAGCCTGGAAAGTGAAACCAAGACACTTGAACAAGATGAGCCAATGTAATTGTCAAAATTTGGGTGAAATTTACAAATTCTGTAGGCATAGCAGAGGGAAAGCAACAAAGAAAGGCTGGGAGGGCTTACTGGAGGAGGTGGAATTTGTGCTAATGCATGAGTAAGGTTTAAGTAGATAGGAGGAGGAAGGAGGAGACTTTATGAGTAAATGTTCAGAGGCTAGAACCAGCATGGCATATTGTTAGGTGAGTAAATGAGCCAGGCTGATTTGTGGTGGTGGTGCTGGTGGTAGAGTTACTAGGCAATATCATACATTTGGATAGATGGAGGTCAAATTGTGGATACCTAGAAAGCAGATTTGCTGTAGTAGGGATGGAGAGAGGGATTGAACATTTTCGACCTGAAATAGATCATAGGGAGCATGTAGAATGGAGAAATAGCAATAATCTATGATACGAAGTCTTAGTTCTACTTACATCCATTGTTTATTGGCAATGAGATTGTACAAGTTACTCTCCTCAGCCTCTGATTTCTTCATCTATAAAGTAAGGAAAAGAATATTTGCCCTGTTGACAGATCTCTGGCTTTTGTTATATGGATCAAGTAAGATACCTATGTATGAAGACCCTTTTGCATTATTAAACTTTCTACAGATGTAAAACATTATGAGATTGATGTTGGTTATGGTGTTGGTGCATCAATGTAGTGTTTCATTGGGAAGTGTTAGGTTAGATAGATTGTAGTGACAGATAGTAGTGAGAAGAGACTGGCATTGGCTCTAACAATCTAGAGCTGAGGTGATGAGAGCTTCCTCTGAGTCAATGGCTCTGGGAATGGAGGGAAAGAAGTGGCATCTCAATTAATATTTATCCCCACATAGTAACAACTCTACACATGACGTTTTGAATGCTTAGAAGAGAAGCTGTGGACATCTCTTATTTCATGGTTTGATGTGTCAAGAATTAGGGCAGTGCATAGCTGGGTGATTCTTCTCCTCGGGGTATTTATCGAACTCAATTGGTGGTGTTCAGCTGACAGATGAACTGGTCAGGAGGGTCCAAGACAGCTTTATTCACATTATGGCACCTCAGTGGGATGGCTAGAAGATAGGGCCTTGTTGGGACTGCATGTGGCCTCTCAGTATGGCAGTCTTGGGGTAGCTGAAATTCTTATATGGCAGCTGGCTTCCTTCAGAGAGGCTGTTCCAAGAGAACCGGGCAGCAGCTTCATGGTCGTTTCTGACCTAGCCTTGGAAGTCTCATGGCATTGCTTCAGTCACATTGTTTTGGTTCTAAATGAGTCTTAAGGCCAGTCGGATTCAAGGGGAGAGGAATTAAACTTCACCATTTGATGGTAAAGTGGAAAGATTGTATTGTAGAAATACGTGTGGGATGGGAGATATAGTGGTGGCCATCTTTGAAGAATGCAATCTGCCACGTGAAGTAAACTGAATGTGTGTGATAGAGGTCCCCAGGGAGTCCACGACTGTTCCTGTGGTTTAATTTTTGGTGACCAGAAAAGTGGGATTGATGTTACCAAAGGCAAGGAGACTGAAAGAGGAGGTTACTTTGATAATGATGAATACATTTGTTTTGTATGTGTTGAGTGTGACCCTCAGAACTGGGAGATAGGGGATTACTTTGGGTGCTATTGCAGAAACAGAGATGTAGATTTATGCCGTCTTCATAAATATCATAGCTAGTAGGATTGCAGTCTTTAGGGAAGAGCTTAAAAGGAGAAAAGAACAGAGGACCAAGGACAGAGGCTTTTGAACGACTGTACTTTGTAGTTGAAAGTACAGTTGAAGGCATTCCAAATAAATGGAGTGGGGAGATGAGGCAAGGCCCAGTGCCTGGTATCTCAGCCACTCCTAATCTGCTGTAAAGATCTCCTCATGGCTGTCACTATTGGCTTTTAACCAACCTGTTACGAGTTCCCAACTGTTGCTTCCAGACCAAGTGGTTCTTGATCCCTTTGGAGACATTTCAGATCTGCTGAACAGAATGTTTTACGGAGAACATCTTTGCAGTATGTGTGGCTTCCTTTTGTTTGGTTTTTATTTTTAAAAGCAAATGTATTTCTTTTGGATCCTTCTGAAAGCTTTTAAGTTATGAAAAATTTATTTAGGCATACAGTGTTTTAAAGTTTGCAGAAAGAAATCTGGGCTTTCAGGAAAATCCACTGAAATGGAGGCTAACTGCTGGCCACCTCTTGAACTACAGCTGTGTTAAGGAAGCAAACACTTAAAGAGATTAATGGGTAAATAACCGAAGAGTTAAACAAGAGCCACATTGTTTGAATTGGTGTTTAACAGGATTATTCAGAATGTCTTCAAATGTAAATTGACTTCACTATTAAACAGTCATCATCTAAGAATAAATAGGAATGGGAGACACTATTCTTTTTTCTGGGAATTTTTTGAAAGCAACACTTGCGCGCGCACACGCACACACACAATATGTTGAGTTAATTTTCTAGAATCTGATTTCTTATATGGTCCTTTCTATTTAGAATTTGATGATATATTCATGCACTCTTTAAAAAACATAATCACCTGCCTATGCATAATTACCTGCTTAAGCACTTGATTAGAGTAGTTAAATGCATTAAAGTTATCACTGTAAATTCAGGTTTCTGATGAAATTCATATTTGCTTATTTACGCTCTATAATCTTAGTATTTTAAGTTATTCTTTCAGTGAAAATAAACAGAATTCTAAACTAGGGTGCCAAGCAGGGAATGTAGTTTTCATTTGTTCAGCCATAAATTAAAAGCTTAACTCTACGGGGATTAAGTTGTTGTCTACAATTCTCAATTTAGAAGGGAGGTTCATGAGTACCTGATATTGTCTTACTCTTCATTTTTTTGAATTGCTCTGCTTATTGAAATGTAGCTTAACCTATGAATATTTACTGCACTAATTACAATCATTCTCACATTGTTGGCCCGAAAAATGAACTGCTGACAGTTAGCAATTTTTGTCATAAAATGCTACTACTGACTCATGGGTGTCAACAATTATGGTGGACAGAAGTAATTTAAATATGTATTTCAACGTTCATCAGTTAATTATAGCTACTACAATTCAAATTCAACAGAAGACTTCTTATGAACCTTTGAAATATAATAATGAAAAAATAATTTCACTCTACTGGAGAATGAAAGACCAAGTCTCTAAAGAATACGCAGTTGAGCAAGAAATAAATGTAGAATGTAATGTATGAGGTTTGGGGAAAAAGTCATTCAACTCTAAGTAAAAAATATATAATCTTGTTTAAGCCTTTATTTCCATCTCCTTTGGCAGATGTGTCTAGGACACTTTTTATTTCTGAGTATCCTATGATTTTTATTTGAAATATTAATAATTAAATAAAGAATAACGAAGTGATCATCCACTCTGGGAAGCCATATTAATACTTTACATAGAGAAAAAAATCCTTTAATTTTCCCACTTCTATAGTGGATTAAAAGGATTTGGGGATAAATAAATTAAACAAATTAAAGAAAAATATTAGGTCTTAACTCCAATTCTCCCCACCCCTTCCAACTTACATGTTATTTGGGCCAGTGGTTCAGATCTATCTTGCTTTTTTTAAAAAAAAGGATTTGGGGAAAACTAGAATGCCTTAATGATTTTTTTTCTTTTTAATTTATTTTTTAGAATGTCTTAATGTTTAAAATCTAAAACTTTGTGTCTTTGGTTTGTGACCCTTGGATTTTTATTTTTAAGCCCACTCCGTAGTT